TGCCTTTCATGAGTCTCCACATTTCCTGTGATTTCTGTGTATAGATTTAATGTTTTTTTAACATGTTGGTGATAACTAAGGTAGGCTTGTTTACTTTCTCCTTTTCCCTCTGTTTTTCTGTACACAGATAGGATTTTGGAGGCAGCTGCTGTTTACCTGCCTGTTGTAGATGCAGACAGCAATAATAGGATTGGCTAGCACAGAATCCCATTCTTTCTCAGCCCAACTATTATTATATTGCAGCCATGTTGCTGTTATCTGACACTGCATTCTGTATTTCCGGAGCCCTTCTTTATCACCCTTCCAATGACAATGTTACAAAAACTTCTAGCTAGGCAGAAGATAGTCAAGAAAAAGAGGACTTGATTAGCATAAAAAGCATTTTGTAAAAAGGAGTTTATCAGAAGCTGAAGTGTACTTGTGCCTGGTTACCTTTTGTTTACTATATTGACAACAAAGTGAAAGGCATGTGCCCATCTCAGGCACAGTTACATTTATAGAACAGTGTTTTATCAGTGACTTAAAGTCATGCCATTCAGTGACATCCCTATTACCTTGCCTTCCTATTCCTTTTGATGCCATTACTTGCTCAAAATCTTGCCATGTTTGTTCATATGTTTGTGGTTTGGTTTTAATTTTGTAATTATTATCATGGAGGAGGAAGGCATGGGGGCCATGAGGACTTTAGAACTCAATAGGCATGTCCCATATCTGGAATTCTTTACCCACGAAGGTCTGTCTAGATACATTACTATCTGCTTTTAGTAAAAAAAATCATTTCAAAACCCCTTTTTAGGAAAGCCTTCTTCCAAAGTGGGTGGGCAATTGTACATTGCAGATATCTGCACATTACAGCTCTATATTGTGATTTTTGCTATAATAACTTGGTATGTCTTTACTAATATTTTAACTACATGCATGGAAATCTGTGCATTGTTTTGTATTTTATGATTTTTATCTGCCTCAAGGGAATATCTTGAGACTGGAGCTGAAGATGGATAATAATAGCTGTGTTCCCAAAGAGCAGCTTAGGGCACTGCCTGAGAATGGAAATCTCACAAATTCCTTCATGTGTATGCAGTAGGGTTCCACACACTTGGGGAAAAATATTACTTTATGGACTACAACTCCCCAAATCCCCTAAGCAGCATACCCACTGGTCATGTTTTCTGGGAATTGTGGTTTTGTTACAAACTGTTGTGATGAATGCAAACTTGGTGATTTATCACCATCAAAGCCGGTAATTATCACCATCTTAACGAATAATATTCACCGCTGCCCTCCCTCCCTTCTAAATTGGCATAATAAAGATGTTCAGACAGGAATAGCATAAATTGGAAATCTCAGGATTCAAAAAAAAAAAGAAAAGAAAAAAGAGAGAGAGGAGTGAAATTCAATAGATTTTGTTCTCTCTGTGTGTGCTTTCAAGTCCCTTGTTTTGACCCCATAAACTTCATAGGATTCAACTCTCTGAAGTTTCTATCTCCAGCAAAGATAAAATGTTCTCTTTTGGACTATAATAGGCTACATATTATTGATATAGCACCTAAAGGTTTTTACAGAAGTCGCAGTAAAGAGACTTCTTGAGAAATTCAATGCTATCTGTCTAGGAAAGTTGCCTGGATTCCAAGAAGAGATGCTTTACTGTTGCTAAAGGAGTTACATTGTACTGTCCTTGGTCTCCTTGGTCCTCACTTGTCCAAAAAATTGGGAATGTCCTCTGATTGCATGAGATCTCACAACTGACCAACATAGACAGCATCTAAGACAAAATGTAGACCTGTGACTGCGACACCATCATGTTTCTTATTTTAATACTTTCTGACTGATGAAGAAGCTAGTACAGCTTCAGTCTTGCATCTTGTCGTCTTCTTCTTCTTCTTCTTCTTCTTCTTCTTCTTCTTCTTTTGCGTTTTGTTTGGCCAATAAAGGTCTCACTCTTTTGTGGAATTTGGGTTTTGCTTTGTTTTGTGTGCAAATATTGTACAAGGGGGACTTAGATGAGCTTCTAGTCTCTTGTGTGAAAATGTTGATTACAGCATCATATGTTGTGTTAAAATGCCCATATGTATTGCTATTTTTATGTACAAAAAATAAAGCAGCCATGTTGCCTGTCAGAAAAATGCTAAAACCCACTGTAGGGAAATTAGATCACCTCTCTTGTGCATGTGTGTATTATTAACTTCTGATAACTTTATAGATCTCATTGTTCTTGCCTCTGAAATATAGCCTACGGTACATGGTTTTCATTGATGGTCTCCCATACAAGTACTCACCAAATCTGACCCTCCTTAGTTTCAAAGATCTGATGGGCTCTGGTGCCTTTAAGACAATTGGGCCATCTCTTAAAACAAATCAAAATTTTAGAAAACAGTGAATAATCTATTCAGATTGTCACTACATTAATTGAGCAAAGGGAGATGGGAAGATTTGACTTCTATTGTCAAAGCAAAAAAATAATAATACCACATCTGGAGCATAGAAAGAGGTGGCAGCCATAACTGGGTTTGGCTTTCCTAGAAACCATGCAGAGACTGGGCCAAAGAAACATACACAGTGGCTGATTCATCCAGTCATTACTCAGATCTGTCTACAACCATAAATGAAACAAACAGGAGAACACTTCTCCATAATATGTCAGGGATTTAAAGCATTTAGTATGTATATGAAACTCCTTTAAATCTTCTCTGTATATATCATATCTTTCTATCATCATCTCTAGTGATTAACTGCATTCATTTTGGATCCAGGACAAACCTGAGAGATGTGCTATTGGTTTGCTTTTTAATCACATATATAAATCTATATCTGTATGACAGAATGAGAAAGAAACAATCTGGACATCAGGCTGTTTTTCTTGGCAAAGTTCTCTTGTGCAAAGAGAAGAATCTTTACACAAATAATGATGCTTTCTTAAATCTCAAAGGGCAACAAAAAGAAGAGGTCAGCAAAAGATAAATCTGAGTCTACAGGTAGCACTCTGGGCGATATGTACTTCTACAAAGATATTTCTATTGTGAATTACTTTCCAGAAGACTAGAGTCATGGATAAATGAAACGGTCAATGCTGGTCCTGCAGATATGGGGAGTGGGTCTTACTGTAGTAACAATAAAATGATTCAGTGCTTCCCAGGAATTTTAGTGCTGAAATGTAGAAAACTTAAGGTAACAGGCAGTCTATTTTTTGCTTGGAGGGACCATGGCCTCTGTTCAGCTCTGATACTCAAAACAAATTCCTAGGCTCAGAATTGCTTATTGCCAAGTCTGTGTATTTGTCTCCAGGCTTTGATTGACGGCTCTTGGGAGTTATACTGGGGGCAAAACAGATATTAACTTGAAGCTCACCACTGTCATAGAGCAATAACCAAAAACAGGGATGAAATAAAGACAGATGATGCCTGTGTCTTGATAGCAATTTTAGCTTTTTGACAAAAAATACTGTAAGCATATCTATTAGGAAAGAAATCTTGTTCAACACAGTGGGATCTATTTCTGAATAAATACAGTCTAGAATGCTGGCTGGCAATGCCTTTTGTGCATGTTTATTGCTGATTAATAGTCCAGTAGGGGGTTGGTGGTTAGAAGATAACTGTCTTAACAGTTATCTTCTAACTCCCTGGTCTTGATTGACATGGCCACCGGGACCTAGAGAAAGCTGCTGCTAGAAAGCTTAAACTGTGGATGAAGCTTGTGGGAAGCTTACTTTCTTGGAATCTGCCTTGAGCCATTTTCTCCTGCTTTCTCTTTGAGAGTATGTTTGAAAATATACCAAATACTAAAAAGGCACCTATCTCCAGTGATGTCTCATCTCTAGAAAAACAAACACTGTGCTATTGCCCCTGGAACCTACACCTATTTGGGGAGCTTTTAGAATTAGTCTGCTGTTGTCAGGTCAAAAGATTTATCTGTGTCAAGCATGCAGATGTTATTTATGGCCCTAAGTAGCAGATAGTGGTGGAATGGGGAGGTGAAGGGGAAATCAAACACAGAAGTACATTTTAGAGGAAAAAATAGTATGAATTTTAATAGTTAGAGGTAGACCCTTGGTGCCACAAGGAGCAGTGGATCCAGACATGAGTTGATTAGTACTCACTCACCCCCAATCAATTGGGAGAATTGTGAGATGGTAGAATATAGGAGAGAGATACAAACCATTGCATGGACCAGCTCCCAATTGGGCATATTCCCAAAAGCCCACTCTGGAAATCCTAAAAATTGGGGGGAGGGGGAGAGATATATAATAGAGATGCATGCCCCACTTACAGTCTTCTGTTGAACTGGATTCAGCCCAATGCCCTGACTGTCTTACAGTAAAGTAGTCACAAAATAACATGGAAGTGCAAACAATCCAATATTTCAATGAATCATGTATAACAGTGATTGTAGCAATATATAGAACCTGGAATGATGCAAGGCAAGAGGGTCGGACTGGATAGCCCTTGTGATCCCTTCCAACTCTGTGATTCCAAGAGTTAAAGGTGTACCTTTGTATCCAGAGTGACCAGCAGACCAGAGATGGAATGGCCCCTTCAGATCTTCTAGTGGTTCTCAACCTGTGGTTCTCAACCTGTGAGTCCCCAGGTGTTTTGGCCTACAACTCCCAGAAATCTAAGCCTGTTTACCAGCAGTTAGGATATCTGGGAGTTGAAGGCAAAAACATCTGTAGACCCACAAGTTGAGAACCACTGTTCTAGGGAATCCCTTTCCTTGGTCTGGCTGCTGAGCAGACTAACAAGCCCAGCCAAGTGGAAGATCCCAGCATCTGCTGTTCACTGGAAAGGGGAAGAACCTGTCACATACTCCACTGCTTTCTCTATGGGGTGCACATGAGACTCTGGGCAAGGCCAGGGTCTTCTGTGCAAAATGGGGGGAAAACCACTGATTGCATTTTTTGCTTGTTCTGCTATGTCTCACACATTTGATTTTAGAAGCCCCCTTCTTATATTCCCTGACTTGATGTTTTTTTAAATCAAATATTGTCCTTGCCTTTGCATCCTCAGGTGACGAGAACTATTCATCATGGCCCAAGGATCCAGTGACATGGAAACCACTGATCAAGAGGAGAGCTCTCCAAACATGATTGTTTATCGAAAGGTAAGGAGTAACTTCTGTGTTTAATTTTCAGATAATTTATTAAGGAAGCATGGACTCCTTTAAAAATACCAATATTTCAAATGATATCCTCATATTTTACATTGTAGATCTTGTTTTCCATAATTTTTGTCTGTAGTTGAAAACATAGCTTTCAGAGGAGAAAATAAAATGTGTTTTGACTACTGGTTAAAATAGGTTGAACTCTTTGTAAAAGTGATTTTGTGTATTTTAGATGTTTATCTATCACTCATTTTCACCACCCGAGCCAGCAAAACAGCATGTAATAAAATTATGTAATCTGAACATAATAAATGAAAACAACATTGTTCTTTAAAAACAAGACAGAAGCAAAACTCTGTCAGTAAGGACTGAACTACCTTGACGTCTTTTGGGAAAGGCCTTCTATGTCTTATTTTTTTTTACTGAATCCTGTCTAGCCACAACCAGGATAATCCCAAGGCATTTTAGTGGCTTGAAAGCCACCGAATGGATTGTAATTCAACTCAGTGTTGGTCAATGAACTAAAAGTTGAGATTTCAAAATAAGCCAAATGGCCCCCCCTAGCCACTCTTCATTTGTCCACCATGCTGTTTTCAAAAGGATCCACTATGTGAATGTTTCAGTATACAGGCAGTCCCTGAGTTACAAATTTCCGATTTGCAAATGACTTATAGTTAAGCATTGGGGTAAGGCAACATCTATCCCTAGGAAGGGAAATTCATTCCTGAAAGAGTTACTATGGGGAAAAGAGGTCTCAACTGATACTTTATCACCAAACCTTGTTTCCAAAACAAGCCAAAATTTTCCTAATTATATTATCACAGGGATCGACAGTGAGTTGAAGTCTTCTGAACAGGGACACAGACAGCAAAACTAACACCACAGGAGAGTTAATCCTTCCCTATGCTATCTAAAGTTTGTTTGTATGTATATACGTATGTATGTACGTACGTATGTACGTGTATGTATGTGTTTGTGTGTGTGTGTGTGTGTATGTGGCTGGACTTGCACTTAAAAATGTATCTGTTTCGACTTACAAACAAAATCAGTTTAAGAAAAAAACCTATGGAACCTACCTTGTTTATAGCTTGGGGACAGTCTGTTTAGTTTAATAGTTGCAATTTTGCCACCACACAAAGAAAACAACAATAGGCATTTTGATACATTGATGAATATATGGCATTTTACACTGGATAGTAATATTTTACTGATCATCAGTAGTTACATTGCTTTTGGGTGCTAAAGGAATGCGAGTGACAGGACTGGCCTAGTTCATTAGGGTTTTCAGCTTTATCAATTCTAAATGCCACCTGGTAAGCTATCAATTGAGTTTTCTATGATACCCAACTGAAACCCAGTATACTTATATTTAACATTCAGAATCAGTATCATCTTATTTTTTGAATTATAGATGTCATAACCTCTCATTAGATAACATTAAATGTTAGCATAGATCTCCTTCTTGGTTTCATAGACTGTATTTAACTGACAAATTAGGATGATTTGAGGAGCAATTTGGCATCTTCTCTTCATGCCAGGTCTCATGAGGTGGCATACCAGAATCTTATATATCAGTGAGAGAAACTAAAGGTTTGGAGATTAAATACACATTCTGTGCCATTTATTGTCTTACACAAGATCACATTAATTTTAATCATAATTTCTTGAGAGACTCTTCTTTATGACACATTCCAGGAGGGTTTCCCCCCTCTACTACACAATTATAGCACTATGATTTCATTTTAAAGACTGTGGTTACATGCTATGGATACTTGAGATTTGCAGATTAGGGAGGCGCACTTGGAGCTTTGATGCCTCAACAAAATGCAAATCCCAAGATTCTATGTGATTCATGTGGAATCATAGTGATGTAGTTTGGTAGTTCCAGGGCTAGAGGAAGGCCTTTAGAAACAATTAATTACCCACACATAGAAAGTTTTCTGCCACAAGTGAGTGAGTTTCACACAGAGCTGTTACCAGCAATCTCTCCTCTGCTTCAACCAGTATGTATTCTACATATTCATGTAAAATTCTAGAAATTTTGTTAAAAAATCAACCCAAAAACTCTGATTGACATAGGTCACATCTGGACTGACACTATAATGCAGTTTGGAACCAGTTTAGACAGAACCAGTTGCACCTCAGCAGGGGCGGGTTTCTATAAAATGTTCCACATTTTGCAGTTCTGATTTTGCCTTGGATCTGGGATATACAGGGTTCTGTCGCAGCACATTTCATAACTTAACTCGGATTTTCCTGCAACTTTTTAATGCACTATAATGTGTGTGCACCATGCATTGGTGGTGTGTGTTTTGTGACCACTGCAGTTTAAAGTGGTCTTGAAGGGTCATTACACTGTCAGTATAGATGGGGCAGATCAAGAGCACTGTACCTTAAAGTAAAGGTAAAGGTTTCCTCTTGACATTAAATCTAGTTGTGTCTGAATCTGGGTGGTGGTCCTCATCTCAATTTCTAAGCCGAAGAACCAGTGTTTTCCGCAGACACCTCCAAGGTCATGTGGCTGGTATGACTGCAAGGAGCATCATTACCTTCCCGCTGAAGCGGTACCTATTGATCTACTCACATTTGCATGTTTTCAAACTTCTAGGTTGGCAGAAGCTTGGGCTAACATGGGGGCTCACCCTGTCCACAGATTCAAAGCGTCGAGCTTCTGATCAGCAACCACAGCTTAGCTGTTTAACCCACTACACCACCACAGCACTAATAGTTAACTATACCTTAACTACTCACAAAAAGGAACCATGCCTTTTTCTTGACTAAAGTGAGGAAAGACAAGAGTCCATCTCTGAACCCATGACTTACTCACAGGTCATGTCAAAATCCACAATTTTGTTTCCAAAATTTATACATGAGATCAACATATATGTGAACATTTACTGTGACAAGGTTATATTCCCTTACAATGAATGAGTTGTTTTGGAAATGAAAGAGGTGAAGAGTGCGACTAAAATTTAACCGAACAACTATATAAAATATATTAATTTACATTGTAATATAATATGCAGGGTTTAATATTTTAGGATGTTAAAGTGAATTTGCCACTTAGAGACTAACTTCTTCATTAATATGTGTTCATATATGAAAACCTAATTTAAAAAAAAAAAGACAGAAGACAAACAAAATGCATTAATGGTGCTGGATATTTCCTTTCAATCACCCGGAAATCGAAATTGCACATGAAACCAGATCAGTAATCAATAAATATGTTTAGCCACATCCTGGAAGAATTGCTGAGGTTTACTACCACTGTCAGGCACAAATATTATTTACATACACACAGGATGATCCTGAATTTAATCTGTCATGCCTGGAGAGAAAAAAGAATCAATCACAACAGTAAGAGTGTTTGCCTTTGGCCTTTCTTGCTAAAAAAAAAAGGTATCAGATGTAGTTTACACACGTGCAGTACATCAACTAAAAGGAGAAAATTCACAAAAGACATGAGTATGTGTTCTTCACAGTTCTAAAATCTTATTACCTTAGGTTTTGTGTCTTGGCTGTGTTACAGTTATGAGACATGAAGTATAATTTATTAAGAAAAAGTTCCATCAATTCTTCTTTTTCTTCCTCCTTGATTCTCAGTATACATTGACTTTACCTCCCATTTGCTGATGTCCCCTCTTTCAGAGGACCATCTAGGCATGGAAAGACTGGCCGGATTTAAGTGCAGTATTACATGTTACAAGTTGTAGTTTCATTGTAAATGATTGCTGGTACTAGCCATTATCATAATGCAATGTACTGAATATTTTGTTATATTTTGACACGTGTAGCGTGGTAATGAAATAGCTGTGTTCCAGAAATTTACAGAAAAGTTGGTACCAGAGGCAGAAATAACATGGAAAGAATGGAGCTAGTTTCCTACATCATAAAGAAAGGAAGAAAGAAGAACCTTTCAATCTCTTTCCGCAATTTTTTAAAATTCAAAACTAACAATGTATGCATATGAAGTGAAACAACAAGGTCAATTAAGACTTGCCGAAGCAATCAAATGCATTTTGAACCTTGTAGAAGTTTAATGTATTGTCGAAGGCTTTCATGGCCGGAATCACCGGGTTGTTGTAGGACCTCACAACCTCCGAGGATGCTTGCCATAGATGCAGGCGAAATGTCAGGAGAGAATGCCTCTAGAACATAGTCATATAGCTCGAAAAAATCTACAACAACCTTGTAGAAGTTACTTGAAGGCTTCTTCCAAAGTGTCTTACTCTCTTTCATCAGCCTCTACTTTTCTTAGAACTTCCATTTTGTTGTAAAATGTATAGATCAATGATTTGTTCCTAACATGCTAGGTGTGGTTGGTGAGACAGTGTTATCTCCTTTCTCCTTTTCTGTGTGTTTTGCTCTTCACATATATTCCGTAAGGGATTCTGGAGCCTACTTGTTTATCTTGCCTGTTATAGGCAGGCACCCATAGATGAAATAAGCTAAAGCAAAATCCCGATGGTTCCTAATTCAGGGCCCATACAGACAGGGCCCAAAGGCGCAAGCTTGTGCTCTTTTACCGAAAGCGTCCAAATGACGCCTCCGGTAAAATCGAATTAATTCAAGATAAAGCAGGAAAACACTGCTTTGCCCCAAATTAATTTGATACCTGGTAAGACCCAGATCTTATAAAAGATTTGGGTCTTTCCAGGTATGGGCCCAGTGGATAGGGCCCGGGGACTGTGTCACATGATCTCCAGGCCCAATCTACACAGCTCTCTTGGGTTTTTCATTCTGTATGATCCCTGAAAACTCAGAGAGTACCAACCTCCTCCTCACCCCCACCCCCAAATGCCTTATAATAGAAAAGAACTTACCAAGCTGCCATTAAGGTCCTGACAGGGTCCTTCTGGCACATAGAAATCACATGCCAGGAGGAGGAGAGCAGAAGAAAAACTGCTTCTCGCCCCCACTCCTTTCCTGGTGTGTAATTTCTACATCCCAGGAGGACTTTGGCAGGACCTTAATAGTAGCCAGGTAAGTTTTGTTTTTAT